AGCCATGCAGAAAGGGCTGCCCGAGCGCTACCAGCTTCACGGTTTGCTGGGCAGCCCCCATGCTTCTGGACCCTGCGCTGCCGGAGCCCGGGAGGGGAAGTGCCCGGCCGGCGGCTGGGGTCCGGAGGCAAGGGGGCTGCCTGAAGCCCATAGCACTCAGGCAGCTCGGCTCTTAAACCTTGCCGAAGAGTCAGGGGAGGAGCAGAGCCACCGCGGGAGGGGAAGTGCCCGGCCGGCATTTTCCCGGACATGTTCGGCTTTTTGGCAATTCCCCCCGGACGGGGGTTTGATTGCCGAAAAGCCAGACATGTCCGGGAAAAACCAGATGTATTGTAACCCTACTGGTACCGTCATGGCCATAAAGTCTTGAGCCGCTTGCAGGGCCTCTGGCGTGGAGGGCATACGGACATCTGGGGAAGGCTGCTCTGAATGGGCTGAGCTACTCCGCTCAACCTGAGTTGGAGTCTGAGAGGCCAATGGGGACCGAGGACTGCCCAGCATGGGTCTAGCCTCTCCCCCAGTCTTGTTCTGGTGCCGTGACAAAGAAGGCCTCTTCTTAGCTTTCTTGGTGTGTCCTGTGGATGGGGAGCGGTGCCAACTGGGTACATGGAGCTGGTGGGTTGCTGTGTACCGACACTGTGGTACCCGGTGCCGACTCGGAGCGGCAGCCGGAGTTGAGGTCAATGCCGACTCCATCAGGGTGGCCCGGAACCTAATGTCTCTCTCTCTCTTTGTCCGAGGCTTAGACAACTTGCAAATCTTGCAGTGATTGCTGAGATGGGTTTTCCCCAAACAGCGTAAACAGTCTGTGTGAGGATCACTCACTGGCATCAGTCACCTACAAGTGTCGCACGACTTAAAACCTGGGGCGTGGGGCATGCCACGGCCCGGGCGCACTAACTAAACTAAGCTTAAATAATCAACTACTAACTACAGGTACCATACACTGAACGAACAAGCATTCTGGGGATGAGCTGTAGCAAAGCTGGAGCAGAGCAGTTCCAAAGCACCTTCACTGGCGGCAAGAAGGAACTGAGGGTGGGGGGAGCGTGCAGCGCCCCTTATACTGTGCCATGGAGGTGCCACTCCAGGGGTCACTGGGGTGCTCCCCTACGGGTACTGCTAGGGGAAAAAATTCCAACACTGGTGCACATGGCGAGCACGCACACCTTTTGTGGAACAGACATGAACAATCACTCAAGGAAGAAGTTAAATTTTCCCTTTGAGAAACTATCAGGCTGAAGCAATTGTATTGATTGTGACACTCAAATAGAAGGATTATTTAATATTATAAATAAATGAGTGTAAACCTGAGATTGTTGTTTTCAAACTGGTTTTCCCAACTCAGTTCCCAATTCTTTTCCAGAAAGGCCTCCAGGACGCCTGCCCACTCCAGCAAAAGTGGCAAAAAGAAAACCCCCCAGTGCTGCTCTTAGTCCCAGGTGTATTTGTTCAGTGGCAGGGGGAGTTGATTTGTTTGGTGCTGAGAAAGCTGTCAGGACAGGTCTCTGGGCAGCAGATATCCCTGCCTCTTCTAGTACACCCCTGGCAGTTTCCCTGCTGTAGGAGGGTCATATATGCACGGAGACAAAGGTTTTTGCAAGCCTTCTTAGCACAGTTGGCAGTGAATCAGTCTCATAATTTGAAGGTCCTGAGTTCAAGCCTCAGAGAGGGTGACTGTTTTTGCTCCCTGCTTCAGATTTTCTTAAGGAAATCAGAGAAAAGAGACTATACCAGAGTGGTTTCTAGACACCCTCCCATCCATCTAACACACACATACACAGAGTTTTCTAAGGCATTAACTTTTCCTTCTCCTTTTTGACTCTGGAACTACCGATTCCTAGAAGCCCCTTTCCACAGAGCACATGATCGTAGTGCAGAGAAGTATCAGGGGGTAGCCGTGTTAGTCTGTATCTACAAAAACAACAAATAGTCTGGTGGCACCTTAAAGACTAACAGATTTATTTGGGCATAAGCTTTCGTGAGTAAAAACCTCACTTCTTCGGATGCATCTATGCATCTATGCATCCGAAGAAGTGAGG